TGGGCTGTCTTGAGGCATATAGTTAATGTAACTTTTTGAAAGGCAATAAGTGGGGCAAAGAGAAATAGTGTCCGCACATAAGGAGCCTACAGTTTTAATGGGACAGCGCACTTAGGACTTGGGCTAGAGAGGTGCGAACTGTCAAGTGGGTGAAGAAAATGGGAATGCGTGGGGAGCGGCGCAGGCCCTGGGACACTGCGCCCTGCCCGTGTTCTACGTGGAAAGGTTGAGCCCTATTCTCTAAGGCATTTCTGAGCAGAAGGATGTTGGGGTGATAAGGAGGTGGTAGGCTGTGTCTGTCCTGGTTTTGACCCTGGCATCTGTTTACCCGGAAGTATTCCTGCTTTTCTCCTTGTGAAGCATCCATCTTGTTTGAAAACTGCTGTTTGAAATTTTAACCCTATTTGGCTTCTATAAATTCTTGCTTGCTAAGACTACTCCCACTTCAGAGAGGCCATTAAGCCTTTCCCAGACAAGGTTATCAGTGTTGGTGCCAGGCTAGGCCCCTGGTTGAGGTCTCAAGCCCCATCGCCTATGGGCTCTTTAAGAACTTGCAAAAGGGCCAGAAACACTCCATATTTGGGAGACAAAGAAGGTAAAAACATATAAAGAGGGAGAATTTCTGCATGTTGGGGCCCAGAATTTGAGACATTTTCCTCTGGACCTGCGTGTAATAAATGTGACTCCATCTCTCTGGTATTGCTTTGTTCTTCTTCCGGTTGTCTGTAACATTTGGTTCTTGGGATTTCCTCTGCCAAGGAAGTAGGAGGGAGTTAAACATATGTGAATGGATGGATGACTACCAAGTTGGAAAACAAAATTTTTAAATAATGTGGGTCAAAATGGGCAAAGTTATTAGAGAACAAGATTATATTATTTACTGATTCAGAATGTCTTTCACTTCCCTTTACAATTAAAAAAACATAATAGGGACAATTTTCGAGGAGAAATGACTTCATTTTGAATCATCTGAAGAGAAGTATTACTATTTGTATTGCATGTGGGGATGAGGAGGGGCGAGTGATAGATAAATGCTCTCTTAAATTTCAGCTCCAGACCCAATTCTAGGGAAAGGAAGAGAGGAGGAAGGTTAAACACATGGAGGGAAGATGGGACCGAGTCAAACAAGCCTACCTCCAGCTCCCAGCGCCCTCGATGCTCCCCAGGGCAAGGAAGACAGACCCACTCTCCCTTCTGGACGTCTGGCACCGTGAGTTCTATGGTACCTGCTTGATGGTTCTGTTTTTTCAAGAAGAACAGAATTACAGAAAGATTGTGGGAACTTAGTTTCTGCAATCTGGCTGAGCTTGACCTTTTCTCTGGGTTTCCGCTAGCAATTGAGTGGAAAACTGCTTTCAGCAGGGCCTACTGCAACACTTTAAGTCATTAACTGTAGCTATATTTAAACCTACAAGGACCAATCTCTAAGATTCCAAGAATTATTATTGACAAAGAGGCCAGTTCCTAAAAAAAAAAAATAAAAAATAAAAATAAAAAAAAATCCTTAAAAAACAATGATTCTTGATCTGGGCATGGGAATGTGCACTGCCCCACTCTCCAATGCTGACTTTCCCCTGGGGCTGGGATGGATGTGCCTCCACATTCTTCTTAAGAGCCCCTGCCATTGTTGGAGGGTATTACCAGCAGGACTGTGATAGATTTTTCATATATTCGGGGGCAGATACAAGATTAGAAACCATTGTAGGAATACAGTAGAAGTTGAGGCCAATGTTTTCCAGTTAGACGTTATTTAGGGTGCTGGTATGTGCTGAATTGTGTACCCCCAAATTCATATGCTAAACTCCCGAATCCCAATACCTCAAAATGTGTCTGTAATCAGAGATAAGAGCTTTAAAGATGTGATTAAGTCAAAACAGGAGCGCCAGGTGGGTCCTAATCCAGTATGGCTGGTGTCCCTGTGATAGGAGGAGGAGTCACCAGGGGCTCCATACACCGAGGGAAGACCAGGTCGGACAGAGAGAGAGGATGGCCACCTAAGAACCAAGGAGAGAGGCCTCAGAGAAACCAACTCTGCTGACATCTTAATCTTGGGACTTCTGACTCCTGAATGGTGAGGGGGAAAAATCTACTGTTAAGTTCCCAAGCCATGGGTCTTTGTATAGCAGCCCAAGCAAACGAACAGAGGCTACATCACTTCTGGGCATGTTTATAACTCGGTGTCAAACAGACATAACTTCATGGTAGTTATTTGAGAGAGCAGATCAGGAAGTGTTTCAGACATGGTGCAGTGGGCACAGACGGTACACTCCAAGGGGTCACTGAAGAGTGTGGTGAGGAATCTGTCACAACAGCATGGACAGGCTGAGGGAACTGAGGAGGGTGGTGTAAACCCAGGGGCCAGCAGCAGTGGGAGGCCATTGGCAGGCCTGGACCTGCGGGACGGGGAGGGAACAATGCTGCTGGAGCCCCTGGTAGTGTTGCTGTAGAAAAGAGACAGAAACAGACAAAATGATAGGGCTTGGTGGGAGATAAACAAGCTGCCCCCTCTCCTCCTGGCCTCTCTGCCTCTGCCTGAACTGAGAGATGATGCAGGGCAAAGAAGGGCAGGGAACAGATGAGGGGGGAGTGGAGAATGGGCAGCACAGGGGAGCTTGGGAGGCATGATTGCTTATCTCCCAGTAAAGCCTCTGCGGAGAACTGACAGCACCCAGGACTCCTCCTCACCCTGGGTTTCTTTGCCTTACACTTCTTGCTCTTCTCACTTTAAATCTCCTTCACCCTCCCTGACTTCAGTGTTTCTTCAAGAAGAAAAGAAAAATATAAATTAGAATCCTGTGATCATGGCATTTTTTCCTTGTTGCAGTTTTTTCATTTTTAAAGAGTAGGAGTAATAAATATCTCTCTCGTGGGATGGCTGTGAAAGCCTCCGGCACAGAGCAGGTCCTCTTAATCTCATTTGCTCTTGCCCACTTCCAACCCCCCCGGCCCGTCTTTTCCATGCTCTTCCTTAAGCCGTTGTTAGGTCCATGCCAGACTGTCCTGGTGTGGCTTCATCAACAGCCCAATCTGCTGGATAAAAACAGGACAAGAAGAGGAAAGAAAGTATAAGAAAGAAGTTTCATAGAGTGGCCAAAATAGAGATAAAATAAAAGTCCATTAAAAAAGAGAAGGAGGCCCATCCTCTGTGGCTTAGTGGTTGAGAGTCAACTTATAAACAAGAAGGTCATGGTTCCATTCCCTAATTTATATGTTTTTCAGCTCTTTGTTTTCCAAATTTGGAATGAGACTTCTGGACCTTCTGAGAAAAAGTCCTGTGTGCTGGGACAGGCCATGAGACCAGATCTCAAGGCCTGGTGCCAGCACTGACAACTCTGTCTAGGGCATAGTTTATGGCCTCTCTGGAATGGGAAGTAGACTTATTTTTCCCTATAATTTAAGCAAGCAAAGGTTTACAGAAGCCAGAATAGTAGGGTTAAATTTTAAATAGCAGTTTTTACCCAAGATAGAGTTACTATGCTTCAACCAGACTTGATCAGAGAGGTCCGACCACCCCATGGATATCTAAAGCTCTGCCTGTTTTTCTTCCTGTTTCTGTTTCTCAAGGGCAACCCTGGATCTGCACAGATTCCCCCCAATAGAAACTAAGTAGTATGTCTTCCATTGACTAGTGTCAATAACTGAAGGACCTTCTCTGAGATTGAATTGGGCACCCTCTAGATTAGGGGTGTCGAACTCAATCAGAGAAGGGGCCAAAATTTAAAATCCAGCCTAAATCGCGGGCCGAATGGTTTACTGAACAGTCATAAACTGTCATTGTGATGGAAACACAGCGGAGTGCAGTGATGACAGCGAGGTGCGGGCCACATTGCAAGGCCTGGCGGGATGGATTTGGCCCGCGGGCCTTGTGTTTGACACATGTGCTCTAGATGTTTGAATTAAAGAGCAAACCACCTTGATTTCAGCTGAAGAGAGTAGTGGTTATCAGGGGGATGAGATACTGTGCTGGGGGTGGCAATGGCTTTGTCAGAGCATCATGTAACCCTTTGCCCTCTACACTCTACACACTGTGACAAATAGGATCAGTGATATGGGAAGCCAGGTGAGACTCAGAAATTTGTTAAAGATCTCCACTGCTGTGTGCTTTCTACTAATTTTCTCTCATTCTCTTCCATTTTGACAGAGAAGTGTGTTTCTTCAGTGCTTCGGCTTTGTATCTTGAGATTATTTTAGGGTACATTATTGCTCTAACTTATGTGACTTTTATTGTTCTCTTAAAAGTGTTTAATATTCTGCCCTGGCAGGTGCTGATCCGTAGTTAGAATGTCGACCTGCACACTGAAGGTTTCAGATTCTACTCCTGGTCAAGGGCACTTACATGGGTTGCAGGAGGCAACCACTCAATGTGCCTCTCTCACATAGATGTTTCTCTCCTTCCTCTCCTCCCTCCCTTCCCCTCTCTCTCTGAAAAGCAATGGAAAAAAGTATCTTCAGGTGAGGATCAACAAAATAAAAGAATATTCCTTCTTTCTCTAATTTTCAGAATTAGAGTTATTTTAGAGTTTTCTTTAAAAATTTTTTTTTTATTCTATTACTTTTCAATGTTGCTTTTAATTAAAACTTTTTTAGTCTCTATAATGCCATCTAACTTTACATTTTTTGTTTTGGCTGTAATAATTTGATCTTTTCTATTTTTGTTCTTAATCTTCCATTGTTTCTACTTTTGTGTTTTAGATTTTTACTTTTCTAGATTTTTAAAAATCTCTTTCAGAGTAAATTGTATTTATCCTGTCTCTATTTTATTATTTAAACATTTTAACTTCTAATCTTGATGTGGTTGAATAAATTCTTTTACTTAAAATGTTTATTTGATGTTTTGAAATACCATGAATTCATTTTAACTTATTGGATTTATTCTCTTATTGAACAACTACCTTCCCTTTTATTCTTTTCTCTAATAGTTTTTTATTTTGTGATTCCTTTTAGGTATCATAGTTTAGGATTTTATTTTGTGGCTCACGAGCACCAGCTAGAAAACACTTGGGCCAGATACAAGGCAATAGGGGAGCCGGTGGCACAGGCACCAAGAGGCAGTGTGTCCTGCCTAGAAGATCCAACTGAAAAAACCATGAAGCAAATATCTAGGATAAAAGGAGGCGTTAATAGTGCTAATTTCTGGTCAGGATTCTAATTTATATTTTTCTTTTTGGTCATTTATATTTTCACAATGCACTGCTTTTGTGTTAATGGGAGAAAAGTAAAAGACAACAATAAACAAACAGTGTGCCAGCCCAACAAACATGTCTGCTGGCTGGATACAGCCTCCAGGCCCTAGGGTGTGACCTCATTTGTTTTTTCACAATGGCAGGAACAGCTCACACTACAAGAGGGACTGGAGGCCTTGCTCCTTCCTGCAGCCAGCCTCTCACCCTCTTACTCGCGATTCAGCTTGCAAGGGTAGTTCTCCCCAAAGCTTTTCTTGTCAGATCTCAATGCTCCTATCCACAAAACTTCTTCCCAGTGAATCTTAAGAAGCACGTTCTATATTCCAAACGCATTGCTTCTTCTGAGCAACTGAGTTCTTTTTATTTCAGAGATACTGTGGGTCATGTCTTCTTCTTTGGGCTGGCAGCTAGGAAGCTGAGAAACAAACAGGTAATCTTTTAACCTCTCTTCAAAATTCCAGCATTATTTCACAGATGTGCAACCCACATATTTGTTCTTGGATTTCCTCAAGAATTTTTAATTTTTTAATATATATTATGAGGCATCTTAAATATTCTTTGTAATAATATAATGTATAAATAAATTGACTAAATGTATATGATTTGCCTCAGTTTACCTCCTCGGTCTCATTTCCGTGTAACGTTCCATACCTCTCTTCACTTCCCTACACACACACACACACACACACACACACACACTCCCCATATATACATCAGTTCCTGGGGCTACCCAGAATTAACAGTGACACCTGAGTGCGCTCTGCATGCCATTGCCTTTGGCATACCTTCTGCCTAGAGTTGGCTCTTGGCTTGACTTTAGGAATTTGAATCTCCTCCTTGAGAAACCGTCTTCAATCAGTTTCCCTCTTTCCTGCCTTTCTGCTTAAGATGCTCCTGTCTGCTCTCATAGAACCCTCTCAAACAGTATGTATCCTAATCGTAGTAGTCTTTGCTTCTCTCAATTTTCTGTAAATTCCTTGGTGTCTGAGAATTTTTTTTGAACATATCCGTTAAGTGCAAGTAAATGCTCTACAGACACTTGCCTGCATTGAAATAAGTGACATAATATAAAATAAAAACCAGGGAGATCACTTTTAGAGGCATAAACCTTTGCTTTGGTGAGCTACTGTATTTTTCTAGGTAAATGCTTGATCTAGTCTTTTAATCATGCATCCATTCAGTGGAAGACATTACCGAAAACTGCTTGGCTTCCCCTGGAAAGCAAAGCTTCACTTGACTAATATCTGTCCTAATAGATCTGTTAGCTTGGTATGGACCAGCCTCCTCTTCAACTTTGCTGAGGGATAGTTCAGGTGTCAGATTCTAATAAGTAAAACTCTGCACAAATAAATATTTGTGTCATTTGTATCTTTTAATTTACACAGCACCCAATCAATTTCCTTACCGTCACCATAAAACTCCAGACGTTTCCTTCAAGCGTGCTCTTCTTCAGTCTGCCCTGTCTGTAATGATGTCCTCCTGCTCATCCCTGAAGCTTGAAACCTTGAGATAATCTGACATCTTAATCTCCTTGTTTTCTCACTTCCAGCCCAAGGATGGTATCCCTGCCGCACGTCCACATTGCTCTTTCTTCCTGTCTCCCCTCTCTCTTCTCCAACCCTCTCCACCTGGATAGCAGGAGCCTTCACCAAGCAGACAGCACTAACTCTTCTTCTCAGCGCTGGGCCCAGCCTGAGGGCTGACACACTGTTGGAGGGATAGACTGCCTTCAGTGGCTCCGCACAGTACATGCAATAATGTCTGGATTTCTTAGCAAGACGTTAATGATCCTGCATAGTTACATTCTCACAGCTTCTCCCCAACTGTGCCATTTCACGCACTGGAGTAACCCATGTCAGCTATCTCTGATTCTCAAAGGACATCTACCCTTCAAGGTTCAACATAAAAGTTACCCTTTTCATGCTTCCAATTGGATGGACGTATTTTTCCTCTCCATGACACTCTGGTGGATTTTAATTTATAATTTACTTCTCTCCTAAAACCTGCTACATTGATTTTGACTTATAATTTTTACATTTGAAAACATGCCCGAGTATTGCCTTCCATGCTATAGGCCCTATAGTATAGGGGTTCTCCTTGGTGGCAGGAAGGACCATTATACTTGGTTCACATCCTCCAGAGCACCTTGCAACCTCGTCTCCCTTTAGAAATGTTTATTGAATTAATTATTGAATATAATTAGAGCTCCTTAGTAACTGAGAAAACTTGATTTTCTCTTATTGGTAGGGAGGGCTAGGGGCTATGAGGTGGTACTCACAAAGATAAATAAAACACTGCCCTCTCAAGAGGAGAATCCAAGATGGCTGCTCGGGTAGGCAACTAGCCGCAGCCACACACAACAATTTCAACAAAATACAACTAAAATATAAAATGGACATTACCCAGAACTACAGGAAAGTCGACTGACTGGAAATTCTACAACAAGAAGCAAGGAGAAAACCAGAAGGAAGCGCGAGGAGCTGTAAAAGCCCAAGGTATGGAGACACGCAGCGCGTGCGCGGAGAGGACAGAGCCGGAGAGGAGGGAGGCCGAGTGCCTGGCTGGCGGTCCCAAGCGGGAAGGAGAGAAAAGCTCCGACTGTGCTGGGCCCAGCTCCAACTGCTCTGAACCCCAATTCTAGGCCAGACCCCGGGGACCCAGGCTCATCCATAGGGAGCCGGGCTGTAAGGCGGGACTCCGGGGAAGCGGCGAAAGGAGGTCCCGGAGGCGCGCACACTGCACGCAGAGAAGGGCCGGCCGGCTGTGCCACGGGATTGCCCTGACAGGAAGGAGACAGGGGCTCCAGACTGCTCTGAACGCCACCTCCAATCCCACTACCAACTGAACTGAACCCCAATACCGGACTCATTAGGGGAGAGCATAGACAGTTTGGCAGCAGGCGAAAATCGAGGGCACCTTTCTCTCAGAGGCGCTCGCAACAAGTACTGAAGGACCCTGAGTCTCAGGAGTTGCATAGGGCGAGGCTGACAGAAGCCAAGGCTGTAGGCTCCACCCTGAAACCCCGCCCCATCAGGAAAGCTGCCTGCGAAAATGCCTAAACCAAATAGATCACAAACGAAAGAAATGGAGGACAAAAAGCGACTGGATATGGAGTTCAAAACCACACTTATAAGGTTGTTCAAGAATCTCCTAGAAAAGGCCGATAAAATAAACAAGACCTATGAGGATATGAAAAGGGATCAACTAGAAATAATAAGGGATCAACAAGAAATAAAGAATACATTGTCTGAAATAAAAAATATTTTATGGAGTCCTAAAAACAGAATGGAAGATTGCAAGAATCAAGTCAAAGATTTGGAACATAAAGAGCCAGAAGACACTCCTCCGCAGACGCAAGAAGGCCAGAGAATCCAGAAAGTTGAAGATAATGTAAGAAACCTCTGGGACAACTTCAAGCGAACCAACATCAGAATTATGGGGGTCCCAGAAGATGAGAGAGAGCAAGATATCGAAAACATACTGAAAGAAATAGTGACAGAAAACTTTCCCCACTTGGTGAAAGAATTAGACTTACAAGTCCAGGAAGCGCACAGAACTCCAAACAAAAGGAATCCAAAGAGGACCACACCAAGACAAATCATAATTAAGATTCCAAGAGCAAAAGACAAAGAGAGAATATTAAAAGAAGCAAGAGCAAAGAAGGTAGTTACCTATAAAGGAGCACCTATACGATTGTCAGCTGATTTCTCAACAGAAACCATGCAGGCCAGAAGGGAATGGCAAGAAATATTCAAGGTGATGAATAGCAAGAACCTACAGCCAAAGATAATCTATCCAGCAAAGCTATCACTCAGATTCGAAGGTCAGATAAAGAGCTTCACTAACAAAAAAAAGCTAAAGGAGTTCATCACCACCAAACCAGAATTATATGAATTGCTGAAGGGGGTTCTTTCAGAAGAGAAAGTAAATAAAGATAAAAATTATGAACAACAAATACGTAACTATCAACAAGTGAATCTAAAAACCAAGGAAACTAAAAAAAAAAAATCTGAGGAACAATATTAACTGTTGAATATAATAGAATCAGAGGTATGGAAGGGGAGTGAACTGTTTATTCTTGGGGAAAAGGGGAGAGGGAGATGTGGGAAGAGACTGAACATAAACTGTGCACCTATGGATGAGGACAATGGGGGGTGGGGAAAGGGCAGAGGGTGGGGTGAGAAGGGGGGGGTGGTGGAAAGGAACATTTGTAATAATATGAACAATAAAAATTTATTAAAAAAAAAACAAAAAAACACAGCCCTCTCTACCAAGATTGACTCTGACTGAAAACTAAGACAATCAGGAAATCTTGTTGGATTGTTAAATAAAAATCATCTGTGACTCCAGATAAGTCGTTTAACTTCCTTGTGTTAGATGACTTATTTGTCAAACATTCCATCTTGAAAAACTTTTCTAAGGAAAATAAAAATTTTAAAACACCCCAAATCCATCAAGATCTTTAAATTTTATAGGAAAAACCATGGCATAAATAAACCACATAGAAATGAGGTTGGAATGGTTAGCTAGCAAAAGCCCCGGGCCCGGATCATGAAGGCAAGTCTTCAGGTAGCATCTGTCTGGGAATCATTTGCTTCCTGTCAAATCCCTGTGGCTTATGTGACTGCCTTAGCGCAGCACAGAGATAAGACCATCTGGGTGCTGCCAGCAGCAGGTCACTTTGCAGACACATTGTGAAAGCATGGTGTACATTTGTCTAGGGAGCCAATTAGGAACAGGAATAACCCAAGCAATAAAATAACGATGCTGTAATTTAACAATGGAATTTGGAGCAATTGCTCAATGTTTGTAATAATGTGAAAACAGGGTATAGTTGGAGCTAAAAGCAGCGTAGGTCCCAGGCAGGGATGGACAAATGAGAGGGTCTGTATGGAACGAGTCCTCAATAACACTGGACTACAGGGTTTGATTTTTTAAAAATCCCTTATGTACACAGGGCCGTCTGGTACCCTATTTACCATTTGTTTAAATATGTATAGTGAACCTGCGTTCACTTTATAAGCTTTGGTTCAGTCACTTCCAGGAAATACTTGTGCATTGTTTGTAAAATACTGACTTAAAACCATTTTCCTTCAGGTGGTAAAGGGAATGGATCTAATAAACCAACAAAACCAGGAGAGAGGGAAGGAGAATAAAGAATGTTTCCTGTACATCACTCTTATGCTCATTTCATATGAAAAGAATGGGGCTGAGACGTTAAGGCACTTTCCTAAGTAAGCAGCAGGTGTAGAGTACACTCTAGTAAAGCCTGAGTGGCTTAATTCAAGTGCCAGGCTCTCCCAGCACATCCTGCCACTTCCCATGGTTCTGGGACCCGGAGTAAGCAGACAACAAATGGTGTTTAATTATGGTCTTTACTTATCTTGTAACACATTCAGTAGCCAAGTAACTTCAGATCCAGGTGCCCGCCCACTAGCAAGGTCAGGGCTGTGTCTGCAGATGAGGTCGGAAGAAGCTGGGGAGTCTCGGGCAGAAGCAGAGGAGTAGACAGCATACACAGACTGCCAGCTAACCGCCACCCAGACTCCTTCAACCTCCCGATGCTGTTGCTCTCAGCTTCATGGCCTTTCTGGGGGTGGGAGCCTGCTTTCCATATGTTCCCCACAGAATCTTCTAAGCCTGAAGCCTTGGAGCTCTCTGTAAGTGCTATTTAGGTTGCTTGGATATTAGTTATTTCTATATCTTGATAATCCATTCAACAAATATTAACTGTACGCCTCTCATGTGTTAGAAGCCAGGGATTCCAGATGAATATAAATATAATATTCTCTTCCCTCAGGGAATTCCCGTCTGGAGGGCACAGTGAAATAACTGTGGTAGGAAAGGCGGCTGAAGGGGTGCAAGGAGAGTACAGTGGTGGGCGGGAACTGCTGAAAGGCTCCAGAGGGGTAATGTTGAGCCTCATGAGGAAGAGGAACCTCCCAGGTGGAGGGCCGGGTACTCAGACAGAAAATGCCCAGGCACATGAGTGGGGCCAGATGTTTTAGGAAAACTGATTGGAGCCAAATAATAATTAAGGGCTTTATTTGACTTGCCTTGAGGATGGTGAGAGCCTCTGAAGGTTTTTGAGCATCAGAGACTGTTTTAAAGTCACCCATAAAGTAGAGTGAAGACAGGCTTATGGGGAATGAAGCAAAGGGATACATGTTAGAAACACTGCCACAGCACAGAAGGTGACAGTGACCTCAGCTTGGGTGGAGGCAATGAGAAAGGGGCCGGGGCCAGGGGTCCGGAACAGACTTGAGAGAAGTGCTGGCTGTGCTGTCAGAACAGGCGCTGCAGACTCACCACCATCCTGCGTCACTGGAGCCACAGCTCTTCCTTGAAAACATCACTCAGTCTGAGTCATATGGGTAGGTATTGTTATCGCTCTATGCCTTACCTGTAAGATGGGCATAATACCATGTATTCAACTTGTTTTGTGAATGTTAAATATAGCAAGTACAGCCTACTGCAAATAGTGAATTCTCAATATATATTGTTTTCAACTTTCCATCATTTTACTCACTTGAAAATAAGTTTAATACCACTGTGTGGCTGTCTCTCATGAGATAATTGGGTTCGGATTCCAATTTAAGATAAAGTTTCTTACTTTTCTGGGGAAGTTTTTATTCTTGTGAGATGTGTGTATTTATTTCACTCTAGTGGCAACATGAAATAGACACTATCCTTCTAAAGAAGGTATAGTTAGTAAAGCTTGTTTATAAAGATTTATGTATGAAGCTAAATTAATTCTTGAGGAGGTATTTGTAGTCATTCTAAGAACAAGTCCAAAGGAACATGTCAAAAATGATGACAATTATTATGCTTTTATAATTTGATTTCTTACATATTCTAATTATATTCTTTCAATTAGCAAACACCCTTGTTCTTCAGCTTCCCCATAGTGAGATGGAACTCACTTCCTCATGCAAAACAGTGTGCAATTTTTATGTAAGATGACATGCTATTAAATAAAGAGAATGACAATTGTTTTTCCACTAATGATTTAGTAATGATAGAACTTAGGCAAATCACTGAGAAAGCATCTATTTTATAAAGTGTGTTGAAAAAGTAACTACTCATCACTATCAGATTTATCTGATTTAAAGTAAAGATAACTACTTACATTTCAACTGTGGGAATTTATATGACTAAAGGCTCAGTTCACGAATTTGGGTGCACTGAAGGCCAGTGGGGTCCCTTGGCCTGGCCTACAGGATTGAGCTATTTGACATCCCTAGGAGGGTTCCGGATTGTGAGAGGGCACAGGTGGACAACGGGGGCCAAGGAAGGAAGTGGGAGGTTGGTCAGCCAGAGAGGGATCCCAGGAGGGCTCCAGGGCATGTCCAGTCCATCTTGCTCAGTCCCAATTGACTGGACCCCAGTAGCAAGCTAACCTATGGGTTGAAGCATCTGCCCTCTCGTGGTCAGTGCACATCATAGCAACTGGTGGACCAGTGGACTGTCTGTTCCCTGATCAGTGTACGTCATAGTGAATGGTCAATTGGTTGACTGCCCCTGGTGGCCAATGTATGCCATAGTGAGCAGTTGAGTGGCCTTAGCATATCATTAGCATATTATTTGAATTGTTGAGCAGCCTACCAGAGGACCGGACACTTAGCATATTAGGCTTTTATTATATAGGATTTTGATCAGGCAAAAGTAAAGAGACAAAAATGGCACATTAAAAGAGGTTTTAAATTATAGCTGGGAAGATCTTATTAGGAGTGTGCTTGACAGCTTGTTCAGTTATAATACCAGACAGCACACATTCAGCTCAATGGCGAGCCCAGGACCATGTGCTTCACACACATCATTTCATGGAACACAAATGACCGACTGCCTTGCATCATCAGAATTCTCTTTAGCATGATGCCGTATCACCACCTCCCTTGACCCAAATTTAATTTTACTACTTCACCATGATACCAGTTCATGGGGTAAGGAATTATATACCAGGTTGAAGAAATATTTACAGGAAAGTGAAAAAAAATGAGTAATGAGCCGAAACCGGTTTGGCTCAGTGGATAGAGCATCAGCCTGCGGACTGAAAGGTCCCGGGTTTGATTCTGGTCAAGGGCATGTACCTTGGTTGCGGGCACATCCCCAGAAGGAGGTATGCAAGAGGCAGATGATCAATGATTCTCTCTCATTGATGTTTCTAACTTTCTATCCCTCTCTCTTCCTCTCTGTAAAAAATCAATAAAATATATATTTTTAAAAATGAGTAATGAAGTCTTGAAAAGTTAGAGATACTGTGGACGAAAAGGGGCCACATGCTAACCTGACAAGCTCAGGGGAGACCCGCATGGCAGTCTTGCAAACTCAGAGACCTAAAGTAACCTCAAAGGATGGTCTGAAATGAAACTTTAATTAAAAGCAGTTATGGTGGGTGGTTACATTCTAGGCTAATATCTTCACTGACAAGGTCAACCTTTACCTTAACTGAGACTATTTGTCTCTTTGCATCTATGATAATGCATCTATGATACCCTTTGAAATGTCTGAGTAACTTATAACTTCCCTTTTTCTGGAGCCCTTGGGGCACAACCAAATGTGCTGGGCGCCAGGACTGATACCACCAATTCCTTCATATGTGTCTATCATTTTACTTTTTAATCCAATCCCAGGGGTCTTTCCTGCCCCTCCTTTGCTTTATCCTACCTCTTTTATCTATCACCCATGCATTTCATGTAACCCACCTACATGAAATTTGATTTTGATTGCAGTGTATAAATACAGATGTAACCTGCCATTCTCTAGTCTAGAGCATTATCTCAATTCTTTGAGGTTCTGCTTCCTGGCATATGTCAACAGTTTGGCTCAAATAAACTCACAAAAATTCTTTACAGGTTTCAATGTTTTTTTACCTTAACAGTACCTACTCTTTGCAAGGGGGGGAAGAAGGGGAGGAGAGGAGGAGGCTGTGATGAAGAACGAAGTGGCAAATGTGACAATGCACAAACATTTGGTGAATCTGATAGAAGGTATATAGGTGCTCATTGTACCATCCCTCCAACTTTTCTTTACATTTGAAAAATTTCAACGTAAAAAATTAGGGGAAACCTCCTCAAACTAAAAAATATATACTAGTATGTACGTGATGATGAACTATTTTTTTAATCCTCACCCAAGAATATGTTATTAAAGTTGATTTTAAAGAGAGAGGAAAGGAGAGGGTGAGGGAGAGGTGGGGAGAGAGAGAGAAAAAAATCAATGTGTGAGAGAAACATCAGTTGGCTGCCTCCTGTACTCACTCCAACCGAGGATCGAACCTGAAACCTGGGTATGTGCCCTGATCAGGAATCGAACCTCAATTCTTTGGTTTATGGGATGATGCTCCAACCAATTGAGCCTCACTGGCCAGGGTGATTAAGAACTGTTTAAGATTTAGTAATAGTTGAAGGACTAATAGAATTTGACTATGAATACATTAAAAGTCCATAAATAAAGCAAAGTTGACTCCTCCCAATTTTTTTTCTCTTTGTTAATATCATTATGTTAACTTTGTTATGTTAACTTAGTTCCTATTGTTTTTAATGTTTAAAAGATTTTATTTTGTAGTACAGCTTTAGATTTACAGAAAAATTGAGCAGGCAATACATAAGGTACCATATATTCCCTCTACTCCCACCCTTCCTACAGTTTTTCTTATTATTAAGTTCTTACATTATTGTAGTTACAATTAGTAAGCTAATATTGAACATTTTCATTAACTAAAGTACACAGTTTACATTAGGGTTCATTTTTGTTTTTTACACTTTATGGATTTAAAAAAATACATGACACATGTCCACCATTAATTCCAATATCATGCAAAATATTTTCACTGCCCTAAAAATCCCCTGTGCTCTCCCTAGTCACACCTCCCTCCCCTAACCCCTGATGTTTTTAAATTTCTCAACACTTTTCCTTTTCCAGAATGCCATTTACTTGGAATCATACAGTGTAAAGCCTTTTCCAACTGGCTTTTCTCACTTAGCATTATGTTGATTTCAAGTTTCTCCATGTCTTTTCATGGCTTGATAGCTCATTCTTTTTATCATTGAATAAATTCTCATTATCTGGATATTCCACAGTTTGTTTATCCATTAACCTACTAAAGGACATTTTTGTTGCTTCCAGTGTTTGATTATTATAAACAAACATTTGGTTGCAGGTTTTTGTGGATATAAGTTTTCACCTCATTTTGGTAAATACCAAGGAGTGTGATGGCTAGATCATACGGTGAAACTATGCTCAGCTTTGTGAAAAACTGCCCCTTGATTTTCCAAAGTGGCTGTACCATTTTGCATTCCCACTAGCACTGAATGAGCATTTGCTCCACATCCTTGCCAGCATTTGGTATTTTATTTTTTGGATTTTAGCCATTCTTCCAGGTAAAAGGTATGTTGTGATATTTCATTGTTGTTTTAATTTTCAATTCTCTGAGGTATCATGTTGAGCATATGCTTATTTTCGATCTGCATATTGCCATCTGTACTTTAGCAAGGTGTCTGTTCAGATCTTTTGCTCATTTTAAACTGGGCTGTTTGTTTTCTTATTGAGATTTGAATGCCTTTTTACAAAATACGGTTCATATCATGAACAGTGGGATTCATGTATTCATTTATTCAGCAACTTTGGCAGAAACTGCATCCCATCCTCCCTTACTGACAGTACCCAGAAATGGTTCACATTAGGTCCACAGCTTAAACTACTTAGTATTGCAGGTTCTCCTGCATTTAGGGGTGGTCAGTATGTCAGGGCCTACCCATAAAAAGCAAGCAGAAGGTTTAGGGGATTCCTGGGAAGACTGTAAAGGGGAAGTCTCAGTTGGCATGGACCTCTTTGATCTTCTGCCCTTTCCCCATCCCCTACCATTTCCCACAATGTGGCACAATTCCCAGAAGGAATCACCCTTCGAAGCAGTCATCCTTCGAGGAGAAAGACAAAGTCACAGGTCAAGGACAGTAGAGCCAAAGAGTGAAGGAGCCTGAGACACACTGACACAGGGCGATATTGCAGAAGCCCCAGGGCTGTCTCCAGATTTCTGTTTTGTGGTAAGAAACACCCTGTCTTTGGTAAGCAGTTCAGTCAGGTTTCTGTTACAATCAGTTCACTCCCTGATTTGGCAACAGTTTCAAGCACTAGCTCCTAACAAGACTACTCAGAGTAACTTTTATTTAAAGGACTGGTTCACATAAGCCCTGTATTTGGAAAATTTTATATTATGGAATAGAAGGATACAATTATATTTACTACATGTTCAGCACTGTACCAGGCATTATGGAAGGGGAGGAAACAGGAATATAAAGTAAGGACCTTACCTTCATGGAACTTACCATCTAGAGATAAGGCTGATCTATATGGAACAGTTCAGGACAGTACCATTAAGGGCCAATACTGGGTGAACTAAATGTAGCA